AGATAGTGCACATCCACGCTAATGCCTGGGAGCAAAGTTAATCCACCACACATTCTGAAAGTCTGTCTGCTAACCATTTCCATCATGTCCATATGTCACACTCCTGAATGTACAAAGGGGCCTAAAATATACACTGTACACACTGAGCAGCTCAGAGCCAGAGCCCCAGACAGTGACAAGCTAAGGCTGCAGCATCTTCCAGCACAATCAGCATCTCCTTCTCCTCCACAACAACTCTCTGCCTCAGGTTCTCCATGGAGAACACTGGCCTCCCAGGGATCAGTCACAGAAAGCAGAGAACAGAATGGGGCTATTCTCCCAGAGGAACAGTGTGCCATAAAGCTGCTCAGCCAGGTGTATCCAGTAGCTCTTGTTGATCCTTTCCACATACCCCCTTTAAGCTCATGGAGTAGATTACCCTAATTTGACATTACTCATCTGGAGGCTCGTGGGTGTTGCACACAGGACAGAAAGCACCAGCATCAAGGACAAGACTGAACCAGTTGCTGGTGGAGGCTCTCAGATTTCACTCCAGGACAATCTAGAACAGTTTAGGTCATACTGATCAGAGGCACCACCGACATAGGTGTTCTTTACTTTTTCCATGTTTCAGTCCAATGGAAAAGGACAAATGTAACCAATACATAAGTATCCATTAGTATGCAAAACACAGTAAAAAAAATACAATCACATAAGGTAGAAACAGAAGCAAGCACAGTCCAATTGCTTTTTTGAAGGACTATACAGGCACTGATGCAAATAAGGCTTAAATATAAAATAAAATTCAAATTCTTAAAAGTACTCTTTAAACATCCTGGGTAAGTTTAAACAGGATTGTTCTCACACAACAATTTTTCTTATATTAATGACAATTGTTTAGAAGTTAAAATTACATACATACCAGTGTATGGTAAACACTGAGAAATGTTGTAATTTCCCAAATTACAAGCAATACAAGCCCATGAAATTCCACATGTAGATGAATTTAAATAAAACATATATTTCTGGTAAATACAACTACCCAATTACAGCTCTAATGAGCAAACCTAACTCTTATTATGACAATTACTTTGTCCCAACAAACTCACTTCTGAAAATACATCCTGGAATCTCTGTCAGAGCTCTTTTGGTTTTTGTGATCATTGTATCTGAGAAGGTAAAATATGACATTTTTCACTAAGTTAAGGCTGATGTCACCCTTATCTTATAAGCAAACACACTCTCCAAATGTCTATGTGCAGAGAAGGTTCCTGAGCATCAAAAAGGGTAGTGACAGCCTTCAGTGGATTTCCCAAGCTTCATTCACCAGTGTGCTGCTTCAGGTAGCAAAGGTAGAAGTTCCCTGAGCTGACAGCATCTGTAGCTGCTAGTTTTGCAGGAAGACAGCCTGCCACAAAGTAGCAAGAGTAAGAATGCCATCAGGAGAGGCAGGCAGAGGAAGCAGCAAGGAAGTAGGGCAAGAAGGGAGGGAGCAAGTTTCTCCCTAAGCCAATGGGCATAGTCCTCTTCAGGCAGCCAGCAGGGAATTTCACTGTCAACCAATGTCACTGCAAATCCAAAACTCAGTTCCAGGCTCAGGCAGCAGATTCTCCACTGGCTGCACAGATTAGACATCAGAAAAAGCAAAGATTAAAAAAAAAAAAGGCAATTCTAACAAGGGCTGGATCATCTTCTGCCTAACAGAAGATGAAGTGTCCCTTCAAGAATAAACTGTCTTACAGCATCCAAAGAGCTCAATCCCAGCTGGTTCTCGTCCCAGTCCCTTGCTGTGTCTGGGCCACGGACGCTGTGAGCTGTGCTCAGGGAAGGTGATCCTTTTCATCACTTCCTGGGGTATTACTCGGATATATTCAAATAAAAACACAAGCAAAACGGCAGCCTAAAATCACTGTGCCTCAACTCGCAGATATGTCTGCGTTAAAACTTGGAAGCTCATTTAAAACAGGAAGAGGTTTAGAGGCTGTTTTAAAGTTGGGATCTGCTCTGAAAATACTTCAACCGCACTTAGTACTTCAGCTGAACGCTTTCGGCGAGGGGCTGCGAACCAACAATTAATTGGGAATTGCTGTGCCTGGCGAACCCCCTCGCCCGCACAGGAGCCGATTCCCCCGGTCTATGCCAGCCCCAGCCCCGCTCCCGCACCGCCCATGCCCAGCAGGAGCACACCCACGAACCCCCATCCTCCTTTAAACAGACAGGCCCCCATCTCCCCCCGGCACCGGAACCAGCCCGAAGTCCAGCGGTGCCCGGGACACGGGGCAGACCCCGGCCCGTCCCACCGAGCCTCGTTCTCCCCCGCCGCCCTCACCGGTACTGCTTGGGGTCACTGGGGGACTTGACGATGTCGGGGTCGCCCAGGTTGTGGCCGGGGCCGCCCGCCCCGCGCTCCTCTTCCTCGTCCCCGTGAGGCGAGCGGCCCCCGGCGTCGCGGCCGCCCTCCGCGGCCTGCTGCTGTCCCACGGCCAGCTCGGGGCTGCCGTAGCCGCACGTCGCCTTGTTCCTGCCGGGCATGGCGGCGGCGGCGGTGCCGCTGCCCCACAGCGGCCGCACAACGGCCCGAGACGGGCGCCCGCCCCCCGCCCGCCCGCGGGGACCCCCGGCCGCCGCCCGCCCGCTCCGAGCGAGGGCGGCCGCCAGAATGCGCACGCGCATGGCCGCGGCGCGCTCCGATTGGCGCAGAGGCGGCTGCCAGGCGTGAGGGGGTGAGGGAAACCATGGATGGGGGAGAGGAGAGAAGAGGACAGGACATACGACCCCGTTCAGGAATCGGGAGCAGCGCGCGGAGAAATCAGAGCGGCGAGGGTGAGGCGGGAGGACGGAGGCAGATGGCGGGGGCTGCTCGCTGCGCCGTCGGGTTCCTACATGTGCGCCCGCCTGCCGGCTGGGCTGCCCCCCCCCTGCTCTGGCGTTGGAATAGTCCAACAGCAGGCTGGTGGGAGCCGGCGGCTTCCTCTCATTGCCTTCACCGATTGGTCCCCCCCGCTGTCGCTCACTCTGGCAGGACCAATCAGCTGGCCCAGGCCGGGTGTGGGGCAGCGCTGGGCTCAGAGCTCGCCGGGTGCGGGTGGTCGGGGCTGTGTGTTCCCGATGTATACCCTTAAGGTGTATCCCGAACAGCTTAAAGTCTGTACCGGTGGCTGCTTAATAGAATAAAGCTCTATTCTTTACGTGACCACTTCAGCAGGTCCCCGCGTTTCCCAGTTCCCCGCGTTTCCCTTCACCCTCCATCCAACTCCAGTGACAACGGCAATGCCGCTTTGCCTCTTGGCTTGAATCTCCTGGCACACACCGCCGAGTTCCTGTGGGGAAGCTGCCAGTGCACTTATCAGAGCCCTTCTGCACCTTCTGTACCGCTGCACACTTGCCCGGCTGTGCTTTCCTGTAACACCGGTTTTCCCGGTGCCCGTGCGGGAGCCGGTGTTGGCTGCACAGGTGAACGCCAAGGAAAGGCGTCAGAGGCCAACAAATGAGGGCTTCCTGAGGTACAGGGGTGATAATTCCAGCTGAATGCCTACCTGATACTTCAGAGCTTTATTCCTCCACAAGATGGAAGCCAAGACCCATCTCTAATCCCAAGCTTTCCTGTTTCTCGCTGTATCATACAAGCCAAAGAGATGCTTGTGAAGAGCAGTCACCTCTTGCTTTTCACATTCGAATAGCTGTTTTTATCTTGTAGCCATGCTGTTCTACCAACACTTGCTATCCTGGGCCACTGCCATTCAAATGGAAGGCTCCATACAAAACCACACCACAAATTTTGTGTTTGTCTTCAGTGCAAGCAGGTTTTTGTGCAGGTTTTGGTTCAGTGCAAGCAGGTCTGTTACCTCCCCCGCCCTGACAAATCTCTGTCTCACCTTCTGCCATTACCTCTTACAAGTTAATACAAGTAACAATTCCTACTGACTCACTGCTGATATTGAAATCAGACGCAGGCCATTTAAGGCAAAAGGCTTTCCCTGTATTCCTTCATAGCAAATGTGAGATGATGAGATACACAAACTACATATTAATGCAGAGATGTGTCAGTTGCCTGTGATGATTTGATTCCTTATTTGAAATAAACTCTGCAGAATTTCTGCATCAAATACTAGCTTTTTCTATGTATGCAATGTAGAGCAGGATAGAATTCCTGTCTTTTCCAGTTCTTCAGACTGCCATGTAGCTACTTGCTGGTTTGTCCTGTGAAAAACAATTCTGCCCATCCTAGCTTGAAGGGTATGGAATGTACTTGTATTCTTTAAAAGAACCCATCTGACTTGACTGGAACACAGTGAAACACAATTATATATTGGGTAGGACAGGGAAAGGTCCTTTTTGGTAGGGAAAAAAACCCTAAGTAAAAGACAAGAATTGAAATTCTCTTTCTGCTGAATGCATTTTCTGCTACCACTGAGTTGCTGAGCTAACAAATCATTATTTGCACTAAGGCACTCAGTTATATCTGCACAGCTCAAAATCATTGCTATCTACTGTGGATTTTTTAAATTATTTTTGCTAGTTATTTAAATTGCCCTAAATCCTGCTACTTCTACAATTAGAACACAGCACTGCCCATTTATTGGCCACATAATCCTTGTAATCTTCACTCTGCTTTAAACCTATACAGTGATTCCAGATTGCCAGGGTCAATCATCACCCTGCCAACCAAGATCAATGTAGTTTGAAGCATTAAAAGGATTTCTTCTTTACACATGCCCAGGATTGCCTAATGCAAGTGATGCAGCTGACACAAGCTCTCTGGCCACATCCAGTGACTTCATTTCTCTTTATTTTGCAGTTTCAGGGGTTTAGATACAACAACCACAGTCCCAGCACTGCACAAATCACACGTTCAGGACTAAATCACACGCACCCAAAACACATCACAGAAAAGATTTCCAAAAGCAACACACAAACAGAGGGATGAAACCCGTAGCACAATGAGCTCAAACTACCCCAAAGTAGTTGCATTTTTGTCCGAATTTTGTGCTTTTTTTTCTTAGAGCTATTACACTTTGAGATAGAACAGAACAAAATTACAAAAGCACTTACTAGTGTCATGATCCAGCACATTACAGTGCAGAGGGCAGGTACTCCACTCCAGTTCCTGACGTCGGGAAGTCCCCTCAGTCAGAGAAATTCACAGGCCAAAGGTAAAGCCATAAAACTTTCCAGAATTTTCACCTTAAACTTCTCTCCATATCCACTTAATTTAAAAATGTTTCCTCCCTTCAAAGAATGAAGCAACAAAAAACTTGTAGAATAACTCTTAACAGGATATCTTTGTCATTTTTAATTCACAGTTATGTTTTATTAATCAATCTTCCTTTTTTTTTAAAGTTATACTTCGTGGCATTTGAATCTGAAACCAGAATAACTATCCCCACACACGCATCCATCTATCACAAAATTTAAAAAATAAATCAACAACAAATGCAGAGAGAAAATCTAATAATATTGGCACTAATATCTATAAAGACTCATATTTTGGCTCCTGGTATTTTTATCGCTCTGAGACAGTGCTATTCCAAGTCTTACAAGTCAGATTTTGCCTCCAACTAAGCATGGAGCAGCCAATTCCTCCTTTCCTTCATCCTGCAACAAATCCACCAGCAGGGAGTTGATAAGAGTAGATCAGACCTGGAGAGGTAAAATTACAGGACACAGGGGAAAGGCTGCAGGACAGTCAGCTCTTGGGATTCTAGAAACAGAGGGTTAGGGAGCTGTTACTAGTGATGGGGGAAAAGTCTGGAGGCAAGGGGAGCCCTAGAAGGGCTCTCACTCCTTCACCCAGCACCAGCCAAAGCACAGGGTAATGCAGGTATGGCTGCCAGGCCTCCTCCTCTTCCCCTGCCTGAAAGATTTGATTCCTTCATGTGTTCTTCCTCTATTTAGAGACTTGACACAAAATCCACCCCCTTTCCTCTTTGCTCTCTGAAGGACCTCACACTGCCAGACAGACATGCTCTGCTTTCTGCTCCATCATACAGGAAAATTGAGGCCCATGTCTCCAGGACAGCAATGACAACTCTCAAAATACCTGGGGATTGATTCTTTTTTTTTGGCTTTATGTTAACAAAAAAGTATAATCTTGCTTTATAAAAGATTTTCCCCCATTTTCTTTTAGACCTGGTCCCTCTTAATTGGTTTTTGTGCTTCCCACTGTTCTTGACAAAAAAACTCTGCAATAGAGGAATTTATAATTAAAAATGCAACATTCTCTGTGGAAATAACATTTGAAACACCAAACAATTATTTTTCTTCAGTGTAACTCACATCCACACAAGGTGCACTTACAATAGTTTTTCAGATTTTTAAATTATTAGATGAGGAAATACATAATATTAACACTTCAGCACATTAAACAAACATACCAGTTTCCTACAACAGAGACTTCTGCCTTTGGACTACATGATAACGCACCACCACAAATGAAAATGTAAAATTTAGTCAGGAAGGGAGAAGGACATTTCTCAGAGTGAAGGGTCACTAGCATGAGCAGTTCTGCTGCGAAGGGGGTGGGTTATCTGTGAGTCTCATGCTCCTTCCAGAAGTGCCCCTGGAATTGTCTGATTCTACACTCTCCGACATCTTTTCACAGATTATATCCACGAGACGCTCAAACACCTGCCTCACGTTGATGTTTTCCTTGGCACTGGCTTCAAAATAGTCAAAACCTGTGGAAAAAGTGAGCAGAAAGTATCAATAGAGGCTGATGATGATGATTTTTAAAATACCATTTTTTCCAGAATGCACCTTAAGAAAACAAGACATTACATAATTCTTAAGCTCTGTTGATTCCCATAATCTCGGAATAGTGAGCAGAAATTCTTCTAAAATTTATCAAGCATCAGTGAGATGCTATCTGATATTTATCAAAGGGATAAATGGATCCTTACTATCACCCTGGTAAGCACATCTGCAGATGATACAGATCTGAATAAACCCAGGGTAAAGGAGTCGGATTCTCCCCCCTTCATCCCTGAAAGTCCCCTGGTCTGCAGCTGGTGACATGCCACCCCCAGCAAGGGGTAAGGAACCTTCCTAGGCTCCACACACCCCTGCCCAGGGCCAGGCTGGCTCTACCAACCCCTGCTGCAATCTGGCAAGAGCAGAGGCCAGAACGAGAAGGAAGATTGTGGTTTCATTCCTTCTGCTGACCAACCTCTGCGCTCAGGAGCAAAATGCTCCATGACTTGGGTCTCGTTTCTTCCCATTCTTTGTCTGTTTAGATGGAAAGCTCCTCAGGGTGATTGATTCTTGCACAGCACAGAGCACTGCCCTGACAGGAGGTTCAGCACCACTGGACTGCACCCAACTTTAATTCCAGTGTCCAGTCACCAGCTCTTCACTGCAGTGATGAGCACGGATCAGATCCTCAAACACTGACCCTTTCAGATTAAAAAAACCAAACAAGCAAGGCTGGAGTTATGCCATGAAGGGGATGGCACAGACAGCTCTTCCTGCTGCTCCCTGCTGACACTCGAATCAGCCTCCCCCAGACAGCCCAAAGCCTGCCCCAGCAGCAGGAATGCGCTCAACTGTGAAGCATTTCCTTATCTTTCCAACTCCAGGGGCCTCAAGGGCCAACCAGTGCTTACAGTGGCTGTTGCTGCTGTTCTACCAGGTTATTAAATTGCCAGCAGCAAGAGCTGAGGCACCATGGAGAGTTTCTTTTGCAATAAGCTACATTCTGTTGTGCTGCATTTTGGGGATGTTCCACATTGCATCAATTTCCTTTGATTCTGCCACAAACAAAGGGAAAGATAATTTGTTTTAACTGATTAGTCTGCCACTGCCAGTAGGCTGAGTCACCTCGATGTGTGAGATAAGTAGGTATCCACCCCATTCAAACCCTTTTTAAAATTCAGGGGACAACCAGTGAAGTGATGGTGGAGCTGTTTGCCTCCTAATTAACAGGGATGGCTCTCCTGCACAGAGAGTTGTCTGCCCCTCTTGTGTCTTTGATGGTGAATAAAAATGTACATAAAAAGCGCAGGAAACCAGAGAACTGCACTTAGATATTAGTCAGTCCAACACTGACATCTCTTTTGGTTCAGTTCATGCTCAGGCCAAGAGCAATTTCTTAATCTGATTAGGGAATTATTTCAATGATGTTAATGTCACTATACAAATTTAGATCAACGTGCTGAAGGATAACCTTTATGTGAATCATTATGATGAACTGTAGCAGTTTAAGCAGTTGATAGCCAATTAAAGAGATTCCTTCCAGCTAACACACAAAATAATTTCAGATAATGCTGTACACATTAACGTAGTTGCAATAAGGAAAAACTGACTGATGAAATCAGATCTATTTTTCAGCCCTTTTAAAAAGTGTTTAGTATTTTGGGAGGCTATAGAAGAGCAGGGCTGGGACAGCAATTCCCAAAGGATTGATTAGCTTTTGGGTTGCTCTGCACTGGGGTGTGTTTGTCCAGGGTGAGCTGGACAGACATGAGGACAGGTCAGGGGCAGAACTGGGGATTCTTCAGCAAAACAGTTTCCTACTGATGGATTCAGTTGCTATGGTAACTCTATGTGTGTGTGTGGTTTGAAGTGTCCCATACATAAAGGATTCAGATTCTAGATGCCAAGTTTGTAATCCAACAAACAGAGGAATTTTGAGGTGAGAAAAAAAACATTAGATGTCCCAATTGGAGTGGGAGTTCAAATAAAACTTTCTATTTGGTGTTACGTTGGTCGGGACAAATATTCAGCTACTAACAGTGTAATTATTCCTGCAAAATATGTGGACACACTTGCACGCACGTTTTTGAGAGTCTGCAAGCCAGGAGCCAAGTTTATTCACATTAATATTTTCAAAAGCAAATTAACTTCTGATGGGTAAAAAAGAGCCCATAACTGATTTTGTAAACTAACCATGTCTCTGTTTGCTTTGATAGTCCTACATGTAAAGATGTATTATTACAATAACAATACTGATGGGTTTAGTTTGATATTTGCTCATTGTTTTTTTAATGATGGCAGTGCCTCAAGTCTCAAGTCACGAATGGGACCCCTTTGGGTTTGCCATATGTAGAATTTACACTGGAAAGCTCTAAACCTGCAGGATTTTGCAGACATGCCTTTTTTTTTTTCACATGAAACATGAAAAAATAACCTGATTGCTCTTAACTCTTTGTAACAGTGACCACCTTTTTGTTAAAATTTAAATTAATTTTTTAAACAGGATTTACTTGCTACTTTGAATTCTTTGACAGAAGATAGCAGTATAGTTAAATCTTAACACAAAGCCCTCATTCCATATTAAAAATATCATATATGCTATAATGGATAATGAAAAATGATAGATAAATACATGATAAACTAATATAAGCTTATTTTGCTGTTCATTCTGAAATTTTCATTGCAATCCCAATTTCCTCTCAGTGGAACTGTTTTGCTTTTTCTATCCCACATCAACAACATAATGTCATTTCCTTACCTAGATAAAGAAGCCTAGTACATTTTTAAAATATGTTTTACTCAGTTCTACAGTCCTCATGTATAAACTCTTTTTTTTTCACTGTTTAATTAAAAAAATAAATTCTTCGACAAAAATCAATGTTTGCATTGATTTGCAATGAGTACGTGGGACTTGGAGACCTGGAGACAGAGTTGTGTTTATGAAAACCTTTTCTCTTTTCATTCTGCTGAGCTAATAAAACCTTTTCTGTTCAGACAAACTTTATCTTCCTTCCATCCTCAGACATTACCTTTACAGATACAGCAACACTACAAGTATTCTACCAAGTACATCTTGGCCTACTGAGCATGAAGCAAGTAAAATATGGATCTGGAACATATTACACTTCTTAGTTGTGAGACCATTATTAAAGTATTACTCCTGAGGGGACTTTTTATTGTACAAACTAAAAGGAACACAGTATAAGGTAGTAGAGGGAAAAAGAGGTAGAAAGAAAAGCTTTCCACGTACCGAGCTGATCCGCCAGGTGTTTCCCCTTCTCCACAGGAACAATCCTGTCATCCTCCATGTCACATTTGTTTCCAACCAGGATCACTTGTGCATTGTCCCAGGAGTAAGTCTTGATTTGTGTGGCCCTGCAGCAGGTCAGAAAAGACTGTCACATTCCATCAGCTGTGCCAAAATAATCATATATTAAATATAAAAACAAGTACCATTAATGACCTGGCTTACACATAAAGGAAGGATGCAGACTCTGTAGTTCACAGCACCATTCTGTTTTACTGCTCCTTAATCTGGTGTGACAATAAAGTTTCTTGTTAAGACTTTGCAAGTGTTAAAAGATCATGAGATCCAGATAAAAAGCTGAACTGAAGAATTTTTGAAGTCCAGGGAGAAAAAAGCTTATTCTCCTTCAGCTGTCTTCTGTCAGAGGAATGGCAATCAATTATAGCTCTTCAGGATAATTGTCCCATAGAGAGAGCCATACAGTAGATGCACACTTCATGCTGGATTTACAACTTCTTATAAAAGACAGAACAATAATAATTTAGAGCAGACAAAAAAAGATGCTCATTTGCTGCAGCACATTTGCTGTAGAGTTTTAGGAACACCATAAATACAGGTGGAAGGATCAAGTCATCTTTGCTTGAACAGGAAAAGGGGTTCATGGAGGCTGAAAATTGCATAGAAACGTGGAAATAATTGCTAAAGAGAAACAGAAATGTACCAAATCAGGAAGATATGAGATCAAGGCAAGGCTCTGTGAGCTAATATTTGAACCCAGCAGGATGAAGTGATACCTAAGGCAGGGAACAGCAGATGCAATGACAGACAGCAAGTACAGAACCAACATTAACTTAGTGGCAGAGGGGGCAGTGCATGGGAGCTTAGGAAGGAGCACTCAGGTGAACTTAGAGACTCTAGTGGAGCTCACTGCAGATCCCAAGTTGGTCTCTTTATAGTTTTTCCATGATGAAACTGAAGATTTTCCTCCTGTTTATCCTGAGGGCCAGTCCTCTCCCACCATCCTTGGGGAGGTGCCCCAGGGCCAGCAGCAGAACAGTATTAGCTTGGGGGCGTTCACTTTCATCCATTTTTTCAGACCAGCACAACCTATTTGATCTTCCCCAAGTCAGCTCTATCTTTTCTGACTCTCTCCTTCCCAAAGATAATTAGGCTGCTCTGCCAGAAGCAATACACTCCTTCCCAGCTCCAGTCCTCCTCCAGTCCCTAAATCACCTTCCACTTTTTGTCCCTATTAGCCACCAATCCAAACTGGACATCGCACTTTCAGGCAACTCTGCCATTTCCCAGGAGAGCCAGGAGTCCCTTCAGATTTTTACTTCTGTTTAAGTTTGCTTGAACTCCCTTAACAATAAAGCATTTGATTCCTTCTCCTTTGAATTATCAGGAGCCTCCAGCTCTGATCTACTAATGACAATTTTTAATTAGTTTGAGTTGCTTACTTGCCTTTTCCATGGAAAGAAGCCAGTGGTGTTACTTCACAGATAACTATGGAAAAGGGAGTCATTTCACTGTGCAACTTGCCTTGAAGAAGCAGCAGCCTGTTTGGATTGCACTGGAAAACATAAACCTAACCCAAGCCCACCGCACAAGCCCAGACCCTTAGTGCAACACCCAAAAACAAACAAAGTCTCCATGCAATGAAATTTTTTCCTCTTCCTAGTGTCCTCCTGGAAAGGCACTCTCTCCAATCCCAATTTTGGCTCCTCCAGTTTCACCCTTAGACAAGCCCCATGGGAGCTAATATGAGTCTGTGATGAGCTTATGTGGTATTCTGGGGTTTCTCAAGGCTCATCACAGAAGGGGGTGACTGCAGAAATGAGCCAAAAGCCCAGGAACGTGAAATCTCCCCAGTCTCCATAAGCAATGAAGAGAAATAAAGTCTTCCCAGGTTCAATTTAAAACACCTTTAAGCAGGCTCTTCTTCTGACTCCCAGTTCAACCTCTGGATTCATTTCAGCCCCTGGCATTGGATGGGGACACACTGCCAAATCTCAACTATTTAAACAGAATTACTTATCAAAAAGAAGCAACCTGCATGAAGGATCCCCCACAGAAACATATCCTTCTTGTTTTGTACAAGCTAGAGAAAAACCTCTTACAGAACATCAATATTTACTCTTATCGGGCATAAAGATCAACCAACCAAAAAAAGTTATGAAGAACATCTAAAGGAAACCCTGATGCCATTACAAAAAATAGCAGCAAATTTCCAGAAACTTTTGGAAAGACAAATTACTAAATAACAAGGCTCGTGCAATTGAGATGTTTCAACAGCTATCAAGGTGAGCCCAATATACACACTGGGAGAAAGGTATTTCTGTGACAAAATAAAAATGCTGTGCCTTGTTTGTGCTGAATTCCCCAAATTAACAACAAAACACATTTTCTGTGCTTCACATGTGAACTTAGAAGAAAAATAGTCTCAGGTTCACAGTTACAACAGGAGGTATCAACAATCCAATTTAGAAATCAGCTTTAAAGATAAATAACGCTGATGATTTGTGAACCCAGCTGTCACTTATATCTAAGTTAAATTTTACCAATTTTTATTTTCCTTCTATGAAATTGTCTAGATTGTCCAAAGCAGAGCTTGCATAATATTTTCTATTTACTTTATATTTTCAAATACTGAATATATTTTAGTTCCAGTACAGTTTCAAACGAGGTATAAACCACTGATTTATCTACACACAAAACTATCAACCCAATGTCAAATAACAGCTATCAAAGGAGACTACTAAAAAAAATTCTAGAAACTGAGTTGAAAGCCAGGAAAGCTAATTTAACCCTTTCACTCACCCTACACAAAATACATCTTATATTCAAACAAAATAATTACTTCTTTCAAATATAAGGTAAACCCTATCTTTGCATTTGCCCATTTATGCTTTTTCTTGTAAAAGAATCTGACAACTCTTGCCACACTGCAGTAAGGAAAATCACTCAAGCTTAATGTTTTAAGGCTTCTCATACATGTTTTACTTTTTCCAGTGAACAGGAAAACAAGTCATGTTCCAAGTATTCCCAAATACATTTAAATTGTGTATCTTTCTCAGCAGCTTTAAGAAAATCATAATTAACTGAGGTGATTGATGTGAACGAAGGAAAGACTCTACTTCACATTCATATACTACCTGGAGAGCTTGTCTAAATACTGATATACAGCCACAATCCTCCTCATTCAGGAGAAAGGGTGACTTCACTTGGTTTAGGAGAAGTATGAGTGACACAAAGCAAACTAGGATCCTCTTTAGGACATCTACCCATAAGAAGGGTGAGGTAAAATGATCTCCCAAGGGAGAAATCATATGGCAGACTGGAAGAGATATTCTCATTTCCCTTGTGGGCAGGTGAGGCTCGATCAGGAGGCTGTTAAAACAGTCATGTACCAACGAACCAAAGACAAAGGCTCTGAGCTAAAGGAGCTCAAGGAGGAGATATCTTAATTTTCCAGGAAGAATACAGTTCCTGACTGAAGACCAGATCCAGTGTAATCAGGTTTTTTACGCATAACTGTATCATGCAGCATGGTGGGAGAAAAAACCCCACCAAAAATCCTACCTATTTGCTATGCTAGAAAACGACAGAGGCTGGTATAGCAGCACCAGCATCAGACAAAAGCTTTTGTTTCCATTTCTTGTGCCTTCTGAAGTTTAGAAAGCAATTTTGCAGGCTGGGAAAAACCATCTCTCAGCTGTATGGCCACTAGAGGACTCTGCTGGCCCGGCGTTGCTGGCTTTGCTACAGCCCTCATCTCCTCTCTAGTGGACCAGCTTTAGGAAGGAAAGAAATGTGTCGATTTTATCCTCCCCACAACATAATTTGTGCTCAGAATCTTAAAACTGGTTACAAAGATTCCTGACACACAGAGTAAAAATACAGCGATGGTTCACCTCTGTCCTTTGGCTGACAAGGTGCTCTTAGCAAAGTTATTCCTGCAGCTCCCGTGGCACTGGAAGACATGAAGTCAAATTGACAAAACTGACCTTTCCCAATTCTTACTCTTGCATCAGTGCCTGTGATGGAACAGACCTTAGACCACTTCCAATACAAAGCTTCAGGTTAAACTTCACCTGCACAAACTTCAAAATAGTAGCAGGTCAAAGACTGAGATTTGGGGGTTTTTTTGTGAAGTTAAAACTGATAAGTAAAACTTACTAGAGCAGAACCAACATTCAGACAGGTAGATGAGATGTGTGGTCATATATATCTTGTTTCACCAGGGAACCAAGCTGAAAACATTCATAGTTTAGTGAAAGATAGCCCTAGCTCACATACCTGCACTCCTATGGAAAACATCCCCATGCACACACTTGCAGAAGAAGCTTCATCTGAGCTTGGTGGAGTGTGTGCCACATAGAGGAAACTGGTTTTGGCAAAACCTTTGGGTTTGTGTTTCTAACAAGAAAAAAATTATTCCTCTATCACCAGCTGCCTCAGTACAGCTTAGGATGCTTCTGCAGTTCACCTTCTGCAGCCTGGTTCATGGTACTGAGACGGGTTGAAAGTGGAGACTGCATCTTTAGTCCTGACAATCAAGACCAACTGCTTCGGTGGACAGCGAGAACAAAAAAAGGGCAGCCCCGAGGAAAGGCAAATTATTATAAACAACAAACCACATGGTTGCAGCTTTTGAGTTACAGCCCAGATTAGAGGGTACAGAATAAGTGTTCAACAGACAGCCAGACTGAGCTGGATGCTCAGAACCAGAGCCACAGCCAGCACGTCAAATTCTCCCAGCAGGTCATCCAGATCACTGCAATTCCATCAGACTTGGGAGATCCCATTAACCGCTGCACTGCCTTTTTTTGCACCCTGACCACTTATCTGCAATACACAGCAACCAGGTTACAAGCAGAAATTATTGAGGGGACTCACAGGGCTACTACTTCTGAGGATAAACACAGCCTTTCCCCAGATCCCTGAGATTTGAAGAGAACAACCACTGTTAAACTGAATTGTTTTAGCAGCGTAGCCGGAAACCTCATAAGCCCAAATAATGCATTAAAGGATTAATTTCTTTATAATAAATTTAAACTTTTAAAAGCAACAAGTTCTATAGCATGCTACAATATTTGAATTATAATGTTTTTATTAAAGTGAAGCTGTAGAACTTTTTTGAAGGAAAGTTTATAAATCAAATTACTTATCCCAGAGTTTAGATGAAGAGGAAAGAACATGGTGATGCAAAGCATTATAGAGGGTGGGATGTCTCATGTTCTCAACAAACAATTGTGAGGAGAGAATTGAGCAAAACCCAAACAAACCCAACAAAATCAGTATTTCGTACCAGTCCTGCACTGCATTGAAGGAGTCTTCACTGGTGATATCATACATGAGCACAAAGCCCATGGCTCCTCGGTAGTAGGCAGTAGTGATGGTCCTGTATCTTTCTTGTCCAGCTGTGTCCTAGAACAAAAAGGAATATTTAGGCTTTAAGACTTCAGTTCTCAGAAGCAGGAGTTGTAATTAGGTCCTATATCTAAACTAAGGCAACCACTTGTTGTTATACATTTTAAAATTCTCATTTGCTCCCAACTGAAATGAACTCTACTTACATTTTAGCATTAATTAGGCTTTTGCATCAACCATGATTTGTTAAATGCATTTTGACACATGTAGTGTTAAAAAAAAATACCAAAGTTGCCAACTCTTTAATTGCTCTTTTCTGCCTCTGCCTCAATGCAATAATAAAACCTTACCAGAGCTCACTGAAAGCTGACACCTCAAAGCAGAGGCAAAAGAAAACGGTCCAGGACTGTATCAGGCAAAAGACATTTACGTGTTGCAATTCAGTGTCACGGTCAGGAAAATGTCCTTGAGAGAGATGCCGGGGCTGACTCAGTTCTTACCTCAGGTTAGAGATAATGATTAAAGTCCTGATGCAATGAACTTTACTATATAAAGTGAATTTAATGTGGAATATCCCAATCACAATGTCTGAGGTGCACATATTAATTTGAGAGTTACTAATCCTCTCCTGCTAGTTCAGCTTAATTCTCTTTACCTATAGAGCCCTGCAGAGTACCTCTACCTGTGTTTGTCATTTCTGTGTTCGTCATTTCTGTGTTCAGCCTGGCAGCACAAAGGTGAAACTCTGGCATATACAACAGAAGAATTCTGAAAGACTCATGACAGCTAGAAAACATGTCAACCACCATCTGTTGGATGCCAATAACATTTATTCTTCACATTTTGCCTGCTTTTAAACTGAGGGATATTTCTACTCCAAATCAGCAGTTCTGCAGTCAGTCCATTCCCTCTGGAAAAAGGAGAGAAGTCGCAGGTTGAACATATCTCTCATTCAGGAGATATCTATCAATTGAACAAAGACATTTCATCCATTTTTTGGCAAATGGCAGCTCTGTGAACAGCTGCAGGGAGGCAAAAGGCCTTGCCTTCAAAGCACATGCTCAGCATGAGGTATTGACTGCTAGTTACTGTGCTGGTTTAGCAGTTCTGAAATGAGCAGTCCTTTAGTCTCCCAAAACCCACACTGAAGAAAGCATTTGCTGCCACTGGTTTAAAATGTGATTAAAGTTCTCTTCTCTGGAGAAGAAGACCCTAAAGGACTTATTAACCATGTAACTAGTTGGAAATGTAAAATAAATCCATGTAGAGCACACTTGCAGGAGTACAGAGATCAGACACAGCACATCACCACAACCTCAGGAGACAGTGGGTGGGAAAAATCATCTTGCCCATTGTTCCCATACATGCAGTTTTGTTTTTGCTGCATGCGAGGCAGTGTTGGCCCTGCCAGAACACACAGCAGTCAGTCTGGGATCACCTGCTGTTCTGCACCAGAATATCACAGAGCCTCTCTGTAGGAGGAGAGCGCTTGTAAATAAACTCCTGACAGTTTGCTTAAAAGGCTCTGCCTATTGCACTACTGTGAGAACATCCATAGCTGTAACACACTGTGCATTTCCCAGTGGAGAGACTATGCAGCATGTATCTTGCCATTTCTCCAATTCTCAGGAAAAAGAAGGGATTTTTTCCTTTAAACTTGTGCATTTATTTCAAGAGGGGTTAATCCACTGGTTGATCATGATGAAGCATCATACACTGCCTGAGAAAGAGTTTTCCTGTTCCCTCCTGACAAGAGGTACCAGAACAAGGTGGACTACACCTTGCAGCTTGAGCGACCTTTTCCTCTCCTGCCAGTGATAAATCCACCACTCTTGTAGTCCCTGACAGCACATCCTGACTTGGCTGCTGAACAGCTAAACCAGCCATGACAACTAGATCCTACCTATACTTCTTCAAGCAGGAAGGTCTCAGCAACAATAGTGTTGTTCTTTTATTCAGAGAGACATAATAGTTGCTTTATTTTAGGCTGATTTTATAAAGACATGAGGGTTATTAAATCATCAGTGTCCACACGTGCACTTTTGATCAAATTTAACTGAGGGGAAATGCTTTCAGATGTTCCTTACACATGTCACAAAAAATAGCTGGTAAGGTGAAGAGAGATCTTAAGCATACCTTAGCTGGGAAGAAAGCTTAAGTGCAATGATCTTTTTCCAATACCAGCAGGAGAAAGGCTCTCTTTTTGCCTCATTAGGAGAAAGCCCTAAATCGATATTAGTAACTTCACAGATTCTGTAACCAACAAAACCAAACAAATCCATAGGAAGTCTGCATTGTTGTTTTACACCTGCATTCCCAAGTTCTTCTCTCTCCCAAATCTCACCTAGTATTTTCTCCTCTGTGTTTAACTATTGCTCTTTTTGGCTTAGGGCATGAGGCTGTGACTGGGCAGTAAGTGACTGCAAGACACATTGTCTGACTACATGTGGAATAATTTGGAAAGAAATTAAATTTGACGATGGCTCAGAGCAAGGACTTAGGTCTGGGGACATATGTCCAGGCTGTCCTGGGAAGCAGCCCCAAGGGATGCTGAGGGTGACTTCCAAAACCTGTCCTGATACCATCTCAGTGCCTCAGCTCAGTGAGGAATTGGACTCATCTGAGATAAAGGCAAATTATTGCCTGAAAGCTCTGGAATTTAGCAAATCTGGTTTGTTGATTGCAGTATTTTGCCTGTGACCCCCCCTGTGTGGGGGGCAGGGCCCCAGTTTATACAACAGTGAGAGATGGGGCTGCAGGAGGTACAGAACCCCAAAGGGCTACGTGCATTTACATGGTCATAACCTGTTCTCTGGTGGACAGTGCACTTAACTCATTAGAAAGGTAATTTGCACATTCATACACTTAGGTGCCTGCCTTCTCAGGTTATCAAAAGGAGTGTGCTATGAGGGAAAGGCATCCTATGTTTCATGGTATGTAAAGTTTATTGATAACCTTGCCCTGGTAGCCATGTGGTAGAACGCAGAGACGTGATTCATCTCCACGTGAGTCACGGATGCCTTCCTCGCTCTGTTTGACTGTACAGGTACAGAGCATGTCATCTCCCCTTACAGGCTTGTAGTTGCATTTCTCCAAATGCATTTGAATTGTTATATCACCCTGAAATTACTTTTTTCCTCAGGTTACATTAGCTTTAGACAGCGATAAATTGGCTTAATTTTCTCGACTCACACCATGAGCAACCCCCTCACAGATGCCTTGACTGAAATAAAATAAAATAAACTGCAAAATCTGAACTCACTTTCTTCAGCATTTACAATAATTGTCCCTACCTCAGTTTAAACCACCACAAACCTTAGCTAATTAGGCATTTCAGGTTTTCACATTCAAGTTGTTTATCCAATGAAGAAGAAAATAACTGACAGAGATTGCTCCCCTCCTCCCCCCCGCCAAGTTGTTTGCAAGATTTCCAGGTAGACCACAAACTCATCAGAAGACAAGTAGATGAGGCACAGGCAGGGATCAGCAGAGAGGTGACGTAGCACTAATTAAGAGTCTAGCCAAATGCCTGGGAAGAAGAGCCTGAGCCTTCAGCATCCAGAAGCCTGCTAGGCTGTCCCTGATGAGGAATCAGAGAGCTTGGCTGTAACCAAGCACAGAAGCGTCTCTGTGAGGTATATTTACACCAGTATGCTAACAGCTCTGTTCTTCTGTAGCTATTGTGTGTGCCTGTCTTTGATGCAAACAATTAAAAACACCCACAAGACCATTAGCTGGGAGCTCGAAACAAAAATTTGAAGGTTTTGCATTAATGAGCAATCAAAATTCAGTGTTTATTCAGAGGAGAAAAAGACCTAAATGTATTAGCATTGTGTACAGATGCCCTCCAGTCACGAGATCCATCACATAAACATTTACAATAGAAGCACAACCAGCTTTTCTTAAATTTACTTGGCTGTCTCAGCAGAAACTGCAAGGTACTTACATAGAAAACATATTTGAGTTTTTAAATTCTGACAGATGCCCTTTGCTGCAGGTCTGAAAAATCAGAATCCATGATTCTGAACCATCCTTCTTCTAGTGAAGATTTCCAGCTAGAAGTTCTTTGTTCCAAATAAAATGTCACTGAAACATCTAATCTGTACTGAATTTAATCCCCTTAGCACCATGACTTTTCTAGCAGTGTAAGTGACAAAGAGCCTCTAAAGAAATAAACCTTTCCAATTTTTTAAAGGATTATGGTTTGATTTTCATGGGGTTTGGGTTTTTTTTAAAGAGGAATAATACTCAAGAGTAAGAGTTGCTTACAGTCCAGCTAGTTGGCAACATTTACAAGATGCACGTACTTAGCACCATCACTTAGGCTGCTCAGAGTCAGAACAGGGGTCACGTTCACCCCAATAACCAGCACCCAGCACAATTTGGGGCTTCATCAGTTGTGAAGGAGTTTCTTCTTCCCTGCTGTTCAGCGTCACATTGTAACACCTACGCTATAGGTTTTTGCACCTTTTTTACCTTGTTTGGAGTTTGGTCAGCCTTGGAGACAGGATAATCCACTTCCCAGCCCCATAGTTACAGAGGCAACAAGTTGTTAGACATCAAAGTGTCAGGGAACATCTGACTCCCTGCAAACACAGCTCAGTTCTCAGCAAGACTGACCACCTCAGCTACTGTTCTCTACCTGACAGATAACCCGAAAAAGCAAGAAATAGAGGCACATCCTGAAGGCAGAGGGCTGTTTTTCCTCTATCTGGGGCTCAGTAACACCCGAGCCCTTTACATCCAAGACCTGTTCACTTTCCTTTCTGCACAGATGAGGAAACATCTGTACTCCCGTGGTGCTGTGCTGGTGTCTCTGCTGTGAACAGTGAGGGTGCCACTGTGCCATCAATAACTCCATTCCACTCCACTCTGTTCCCATCTCTCCAACAGTTCATGCAGCCCTTTCCACTGCTGCCTTGTTCTGCCTTCCTCACTGGACTGAACTGGCAGCTCAAAGCAGCCTTTCCTTACCTTTCAGAACTGTTGCAATGTGAAATGTTAAAATTCTCATGACCTCCAGCAAATCTAGTTGTTTTGGTCACTGTTACTGATGT